GCTTCAGATATGTCCTCATTGGAGGGTGTTGGCATGTAGAGGCTGGAGGCAGAATAACTAAAAGTGGGGTAGCTTAGGGGATTGTTTTGAGGAGTATATTTGGCTTTCTCTAGTTTGTCCTGAGTTGGAAGTGGCGACAGAAATTAGGGAAGCTGGCAGTCAGTGATCAAGCCCTGACCATTATGGGACAATTGCAGATTTTGTGGCTTAGCTTTCTGGACTGGTGATGTTGTTGCAAAAATTATGGGTCAGAGTCTACTGTCATGTGGTCCGATTGTTTCCCATTTGTATATTCAGACTCAAATATTAAACACTAACAAAAGAAGACTGGAAGTACATTCAAAACTGTATTTGACACACTAATGACAATATTCAAGCACTTTAATGACTACTGTGTTGAAATAGCATTTGTCCTGAATGGTCTCAGTGGAATCATTGAGATCAAATTAGGACCAATGGATGGAAAAGTTCTTCAATACAAAAAAGATCTTTCTAAAACACACTACTGTCTAGATACAATCTCAGATAGCGGTTACCTGTTAAGGGGAGAATTCAGACCTAGGCTGGATAACTTCTTTTTAGTGATATTGAAAAACAGGTCACAGACTTTGGCATGCATCAGAATCACTTGATACTTTTGTTACCGATGCAGAACCTTAGGCTCTGTCCTAGACCTGCTGAATCTGATCAGTAGTGTATGACAGATGATTCTTTTAAGAAATATCTGTAGAGGGGCCAGGTGCAGTGGCTCACGCCTATAACTCTAGCACTTTGGGAGGTGGAGGCGGGTAGATCACCTGAGGTCAGGAGTTTGAGACCAGCCTGGCCAACATGTGATGAAACCCTGTCTCTACTAAAAATACCAAAAAAAAAAAAAATTAGCCAGATATGGTGTCACATTCCTATAGTTCCAGCTACTCAGGAGGCTGAAGCAGGAAAATCATTTGAACCTGGCAGACAGAGGTTGTGTATGACAGATGATTCTTTTAAGAAATATCTGTAGAGGGGCCAGGTGCAGTGGCTCACGCCTATAACTCTAGCACTTTGGGAGGTGGAGGTGGGTAGATCACCTGAAGTCAGGAGTTTGAGACCAGCCTGGCCAACATGTGATGAAACCCTGTCTCTACTAAAAATACAAAAAAAAAAAAATTAGCCAGATATGGTGTCACGTTCCTATAGTTCCAGCTACTCAGGAGGCTGAAGCAGGAAAATCATTTGATATGTTTTTATGTAAACTGTAATACATGTTTATATATTTAAATGTATAAATTATATATAAGTATATTAATTTATTAATTATATAAATATATTTATTAATGATATATTATTTACTTTATTAATTATTTAAAAATTATATAGTTAAATATATATTTAATTCATATATTTAAATATATAAATATACATATTAAGAGAGTCTAACATTCTGACTTTTGCATAGCATAGTCATAACAGGAAATAAACCATTCATTCATTGAGCAATATTGATTGAGTAGATTACATTATGTCTACACTCTACTTTAGGCCTGTATTTTAACTTTCTTAGCATGGTACATTCTTACATGTCAAAGTTAGTAATTAAAGGAACTCATTCATTCTTCAGAGATGTTTTGAACATCTGCTCTGGTGAGATGATGATGAACCAGACTAATATAGTTCTTTTTTCCTAGCACTTACATTGACATAGTCCTTTTTTCTTCAGAGTGGAAAGAATACACAAAATATACTTAAAATACGGGGTGATATATGTTGTCATGAAAAAGAAAAATGGTGAGAAAACACCAGCCCATAGTTCTATTCTTTCCCCCTACATTATAATTCCAAGTAAAATTCAGTCTTAAAATTCAATCAAGTTATTTATAGAGGAATTAGTATACATCCTTTTGTCAGATTTGTTTTAGGTTTTAAGTAAAAATGGAAAGCCTTTGAGCCTAACATTCCTCCAGAAATGCTAGGGGAAGATTTCAGAATGGCACTTTGTACTTAAAACCTCTCTGATGTCAAAACTGGTGAATATTGAATTGAATAAACCAAAGGAACATATTCTATTTGGGTTGACTCTCTGGATATCTAAGAAAATGAGTCTGGAAATTCTAAATTCTTTGGATTTTTAATACCTGTTTCTAACTTTATTGCAATGGAGCGAATTTGTACTGTATTTTTCAAGCATATTCTTATTCAAAACACCATGTATTTTGCTGTGTGGTATACAGGAAGACACATTAAATGGGAAGCAGCTGCCTCGTATCTAGTTCTGGCTCTTCCACTAATTAGCTGTGTGACCTTGGGCCTCTTTGAGCTTGAGTTTTATCAAAACGCTAAATTATTCTTAATTAGCTCTAAAATTCTGATTTGGTAAAACTAAATGGAGGAAATGCTGTCATGCTGCACCTGCCTCTTTCTCATACCCTCCTCCCAGCTACACAAATACATTAGAAGCCTCATTACCACCATTAAATGAATGCTGAAATAACTTGCTTTTCTAATGTGGACATCTGTATGTTCCTTAGGCTGAAGTCTAAGGCCTCAATATCTACCTGCTTACCCAGTCTGAGTGACTGGACTTATGCCAGCTCCCTGGAGAATGCTTCAGCTTCTTTGAAAAAGAACTCTGTAGTGAGAGCCGTTACCAATCTGTCTTCTTAACAACAGTTGCTATAATCCTAGCTGTTATACTAAGCATTTTGTTTGAAACTCAATAGACCCTGCTAGACCCAAGATCTTACTATGTATATGACTAATAGTAACCTCACTGTCTAAATACTTCAGTATCTCCCCATACCTGCCTGTATTAGTTTGTTTTCATGCTGCTGATAAAGATGTACCTGAGACTGGGAAGAAAAAGAGGTTTAGTTGAACTTAAGACTTCCATATGGCTGGGAAGGCCTCAGAATCACAGTGGGAGGTGAAAGATTATTCTTACAGGGCAGAGACAGGAGAAAATGAGGGAGAGGCAAAAGCAGAAACCCCTGATAAACCCAACAGATCTCATGAGACTTGTTCACTATCACGAGAATAGCACGGGAAAGACCAGCCGCCCCATGATTCAATTACCACAGTGCAAGTTGGTCGTGGATCTACCATTCTGGGGTCTGGAGACCAAGGGCCCTCTTCTCACAGCTCCAATAGGCAGTATCTCAGTAGGGACTCTGTGTGGGGACTACCACCCCAAATTTCCCTTCAGCACTTCACTAGCAGAGGTTCTCCATGAAGGCCCCGCCCCTGCAGCAAACTTCTGCCTGGGCATCCATTTCCATATGTCTTCTGAAATCTATGCAGAAGTTCCCAAACTTCAGTTCTTGACTTCTGTACACCTGTAGGCTCAACAGCCCATGAAAGCTGCCAAGGCTTGGGGTTTCCACCCTCTGAAGTCACAGCCCAAGCTCTACATTGGCCCCTTACAGCCATGGCTGGAGCAGCTGGGACACAGGGCACCACATCTCTAGGCTGCACACAGAACAGGGACCCTGGGCCCAGCCCATGAAACCACATTTTCCTCCTGGGTCTCTGGGCCTGCAGTGGGAGGGGCTGCTGTGAAGGTCTCTAACAAGTCCTGGGGACATTTTCCCCATGGTCATGGGGATTAACATTAGGCTCCTTGCTACTTATGCAAATTCCTGGAGCCAGCTTGAATTTCCCCTCAAAAAATGGAGTTTTCTTTTCCACTGCATCATCAGCCTGCAAATTTTCTGAACTTTTACACTGTTTCCCTTTTATAACTGAATGTCTTTAACAGCACCCAAGTCACCTCTTCAATGTTTTGCCAGATACCCTAAATTTCTTCTGCTAGATACCCTAATTCATTTCTCTCAAGTTCAAAGCTCCACAAATCTCTAGGGGAGTGGCAAAATGCCACTAGTCTCTTTTATAAAACATAACGAGGGTCACCTTTGCTACAGTTCCCAACAAGTTCCTCATCTCCATCTGAGACTACCTCAGTCTGGACCTTATTGTTCATAATCACTATCAGCATTTTTGTCAAAGCCATTCAGCAAGTCTCTAGGAGGTTCCAAACTTTCCCACATTTTTCTATCTTCTTCCGAGCCCTCTAAACTCTTGCTTGTTACCTAGTTCCAAAGTTGCTTTCACATTTTCAGGTATCTTTTCAGCAACACCCCACTCTACTGGTACCAATTTACTGTATTAGTTGTTTTCATGCTGCTGATAAAAACATACCTGAGACTAGGAAGAAAAAGTTTAACTGGACTTAGAGTTCCACATGGCTGGGGAGGCCTCAGAATCATGATGGGAGCCAAAAGGCACTTCTTACTTGATAGAGGCAAGAGAAAATGAGGAAGAAGCAAAAGTGGAAACCCCTGATAAACTCATGAGATCTTGTGAGACTTATTCACTATCATGAGAATAGCACAGGAAAGACCAGCTCCCATGATTCAATTACCTCCCCCTGGATTTCTCCCATGATGTGGGAATTCTGGGAGATGCAATTTAAGTTGAGATTTTGGTGGGGAACACAGCCAAACCATATCACTGCCTGATTAAATTCCTTAGAAACAGACACCAGCCATATCATGCCAAATTCCTCTCCTAGAGGAGCAGCACTATAGCCCAGCTGGTACCCTTGAATCTGGTCCTACCTAGTCCAGGCTTGCTCTTCTATCCTTAACAGACACAACTGATATCCTAGTTTGCTTCTGTCAAAACTTTTGAAGTTAGGATAGACATAGGTACACCTATATCTATATGAAAGAGCCTTGATCCTAAAGCTAAGTCTTATGATTTTTCATAATTAGCATATTCTTTAGAATTAGTCTACTCTAAAAAAAATGTTATTTTTAAGAAGTATATATACACTGTTAGCCCTGAAATTGGCTTTGAGTATTAATTTTAAAAATTAACCTTCAGCTTTTGAACTTATTCCCATTTAAATAATTGAACAATTTCAGGAAATAATGATCAAGCTATGCAGAGCAATGTAATAATTTTTTTTTTTGCCCTTACCTTTCACCACTTTAAAATGTATTTTACTTTCCTACAATTGCCAGAACTTCTCCTTGTGAGGCCGAGCTTCAGGAATTAATGGAACAAATTGACATCATGGTAAGCAACAAAAAATTGGATTGGGAAAGAAAGATGCGGGCTTTGGAGACACGATTAGATCTTCGGGATCAAGAATTGGCAAATGCACAAACTTGTTTGGATCAGAAGGGTCAAGAGGTACTGAATACATATGTTAACAAACTGATAATTCATCAGACTGTTATGTATAGTATTCTATCAGAATATGGTTTTATTATACATGCTTTTTATCAGGCATCAGCAACAACATTTATTGCTTGAAATTCTGTCAGCAAATTATATGCTAAATGTATTATAAAAGTGACCATCAGAGCCTAAATCCATAGATATTTGCTGATGAAGACAGATGTATAGTATCAATGCCATCTATAAAAGTAAACATTTAATATATGTATAAAATATTGTTTGCAAGGAAAGATGTAAATACTTTTGCTGCTGTAGAAACAAAGTAATCCTCAAAACGGGACAAGGCAGAGTTCAGAAACATTTGCTTCTTCTAATATGCTAGAAAAAAATAGAAGACATCAAGAATTGATTATAGGACAAAGGGTAAAGAGTTGGCAAAGGGGTGTGTGTATATACCTGGGACATCCACTTAAGAGGAGTGCCCTCAGTCCCTCTAGGCTGCTCACTGCCAAGCTGGTGGCCACAGAATGTATGAGTTCTCCCAGGCCTGTGAAGGAGTTCAAGAAAACCATAGGCTTTCTCTAACGTGGACTTTGTGTCTGTGAATTTTTCTTTTGGAAAAAGAAATGTTTAAGAGAAATGTTTGCTAATAATGTACTGTAAAAAAAATATCATTAGTTAACTTGTTCATCAGCCATTTTTCTACCTTTATTGACTGGTCAGTGGAACTTAGTTTCTTTGGCATAGTTAACTATATTATCATTTGTCATAGATAACTTAGTTATTGGCATGTAGTTTTCCTACAGTTGAGGTAGATCATCAGACATGGCATATGCAATAGACTATTATTCTAGCTTTTATACGTAATATGTAAACAAGTACCTCATCTGCCTTATAAGCAGACAAATTATACAAGCCAAATCCGTAGGAACTGCTCTTAGACAATTTTTCTTTTTAATGCATTAGTTATTATAAAAATAAAACAATTATTTCATAATACCACTAAAACAGAGATCCTCTTGGAGGTCATGGAGGAAAAAAAAGCTGAATTATATTGGTAGAGGTTTTGCCTGGCTAACGATGACATAGCCTCCCAAAAGGATAATGCAAAGTAAATTCTAACCCTGAATTTTAAATGTGATGATGATAAGGATCTTTTGTTAAACATCCATACTGTCCTAATATGTACCTTGTGGAATAGTGCTAGAATGTTTGGTTTTTGTGAATTTGATTATTGATAGCTATTTTAAGAAGTGCAGTACAAATATTTACTCTTGGTTTGGTACACCCGTTTTATTTGAATTGTGCTTCTCTTTTGCACATTTTCTGATTTTGTCAGGCAGAATTTAGAAAAAGCAAAATTAAATTTTATTCTTCATGCAGGTAGGATTACTTCGACAGAAATTGGACAGTCTGGAAAAATGTAATTTAGCAATGACTCAGAATTATGAAGGACAACTACAAAGCCTAAAGGCTCAAGTAAGGAAACTTACTATAATTTAATAGCACACATTTTGATATGCTTTTGACCTATAGAGTTGTGTTAATTTTATTTAAACTAATTGTTTTTAGTATAAGCAAAAATTCTTGTATTTTAATTGTAAGCTTAGTCATGTCTTCCACTGTTTTATGCATTGATTTTGTTTCTTTTACTAGATTGTTGGATTGCTATACCTTCTGTACCTGTTAGCACAGTACTAAACAAATGGCTATTTCTCAAGAGATTTGTTAATGAATTAAATGATAATTAGCTATGTGAGCAACAACAAAAACCAAAATTATCTTTTGTGGTTATTACTATCTAATAGAGATGCTCTTAATTCCATGACAACTTACAATAGGGAAGTTTGCTATTATGAAAAAGATAATTGAGAGAACAAAACTGGTCTTTATTACCTTGTTATTGGTAGGACTGTTTCTTACATGATAGTGCTTCTGCATGTGTAATGAGAAGGATACAGATTTCTTTTTCACTTATCCCTGTATCCTCACACTGAGCTGGCAAGCAAAATGCCTTCTTTACCACAGATAGCATGTAGAGTAGCAATCATTTGAATATGTCAAATGTAGTAGATGCTCTATCTTTGCTTAACTTGGTAAATGAATCAATGGGAAATATGGTTTGATTATTAAATTTTACTTTACAAACAGGTTTTTTTGGAGGACAAATATTTCATGTATGATAATTTAGTTAAAGGAGGCTAAAGTAGTTAATGATCCTTCTTAAGTACCTTTTAGGGATGGAATTCAGCCACTAAGATGGAAATGTGAAACATTTGATGCCATTTAACAGATGATTTTACAAGACTAGTTCTTAGTCTACCTAGACATTTTGCATACAGTTCAAGTTACTGCCACTATATGGTAGCTTGAGTTATGAAATTACATATGGTTTTTACTAGCTTAGACTCTGAGCATTTAGCATGTAAGTCAACTTAACATTTATTTTTCTATAAAGATAAAGCTCTAAAGCAGGCGTCCCCAAACTACGGGCCCGCGGGCCGCATGCGACCCCCTGAGGCCATTTATCCGGCCCCCCCCCACCACCACACTTCAGGAAGGGGCACCTCTTTCATTGGTGGTCAGTGAGAGGAGCACAGTGTGTGGCGGCCCTCCAACAGTCTGAGGGACAGTGAACTGGCCCCCTGTGTAAAAAGTTTGGGGACGCCTGCTCTAAAGTAACAACATAAATATTAAAGCATTACATACTGGTCAATATTTATCAAGAGATCACAATCTGTAGTTAGTTAGAAAAAAATACAGAAATCTAGAAATAAGTTAGGTGCCATCTCTAAGTTGTATTTAACCAGTTCAGTCACTGCTTTCTAAATCTTTCATTTCTGTTTGGGTATTTCTTGTCTTCTGTTAATAAGTTCTTGGTCTTGTTTACAGGGGCCAAGCAGTCATTTAATATATGAATCCTTGCTGCTTGATATTTTGCAGTTCTGTTTTATTATTTTGCTGCTGGCTGGTTTTCAGTGGTAACCAAAAAATATTTTTGTGGTAATTTCACAAAAATTTGTTCTGTGGAAAACACCGTGAGTTTAGAAAATGGTGCTTAAGGCTGGGTATGGTGGCTCAAGCCTGTAATCCCAGCACTTTGGGAGGCCAAGGTGGGCAGATCACGAGGTCGGGAGATCAAAACCTTCCTAGCCAACACGGTGAAACCCCTGTCTCTAGTAAAAAATACAAAAAAGTAGCCGGGTATGGTGGTGCATGCCTGTAATTCCAGCTACTTGGGAGGCTGAGGCAGGAGAACTGCTTGAACCCAGGAGGCAGAGGTTGCAGTGAGCTGATATTGTACCAGTGCACTCCAGCCTGGTGACAGAGTGAGATGTCATCTCAAAAAAAAAAAAAATAATAATAAATAAAAGAAAAGAAAAAAAAGAAAGAAAAGAAAATGCTGTTTAAGCTAATGCTGACCAAGTTAAGACTCTTCCTCCCTCCTGGAGATTAAGGGCACACATTAGCACATTACAGGCCATGAGAAATCCTGCCTTAAACAAACTCATTTAACCTTTCCAAAGCATCATGTTCCAAAGATTTGGACAATGGAACTCTTCTTATTAATTATTTTTATTTTTTTGATTGCGATGAAGTCTTGCTCTGTTGCCCAAGGCTGGAGTGCAGTGACACAATCTTGGCTCATTTTGACCTCTGTAACCCAGGTTTAATCAAGTCTCGTGCCTCAACCTTCAGAGTAACTGGGATTACAGGGGCACATGACCACACTCAGCTAATTTTTGTATTTTTAGTAAAGACGAGGTTTCACCATGCTGGCCAGTCTGGTCTCAAACTCCTGACCTCAGACAATGTGCCTCTGTAATCAGGGGTTTCATGGAATACACTGGGAATGCTACATTATTGTTGAGAGCCACCTATTTTCACTGCAGCTTTCTGCCTCTCTTTTTCTCTAGTTAAAAGAAAGGGAGGAAGAAAGGGAAGAAGAGCAAAAGGGAAGGAAGGAGGAAAGTAAGGAAAAATAGAGAAAAAGAAAAGTACCATGTACTTGATTTGGTTTGCGTAAAGCTAGTAATATGCTGTTTTTCTAAGTAGAAAATGGTATTTGTGGCAAACACGCTTTTGTTGCTGCCAGCTCACTCTACAGCTTCCTCCTTTGAAATTTCTGGTTTATTTACAGTTTCATTTTCCTGAAACATCTTAAGGATACACTTTGCCATACTCTGCCTTGAATAATTCAACTCTGTCAAAGCTTCTTTTTAGAAACTGCTTTCCTTTTTAAAATGAGTTATTTTTTTCCCTTCTAACCATTATGAAACTATAATTTTAAATACATCTATTTGAGGCTTATGCTTCTGGAATAGATATACTCTTCCCTATCCTCCCACTAAATTGGACATCATTTATAAAACAACATAAGACTCTGACGAGTGGAGAGAAGAGACAGATTGGCTAAGGACCTTGGGCCTCAAACAATACAATAGTGAGTTCCCTGGGATTTGTTTTGGCCTCATATTATCCCAGACTGAGTAACAGAGAAGCAGGCAACCCAGTCATGCCAATGGGTGCAAACAAACAAAAACAGCACCAAGGCAGGCCTGCTCTGTCCAGCTAGAAGACCAGAAGAGAGACAGCCTAGCAAGAGGATACACTTTTACATAATAACCTCTCTACTCCACCCTAGTACAACAGAAAAAACAAACAAAAACAACAAGAAGAAGAACAAAAACTACAGCCCCACTGCCACGTACAAAGAATTAGTGGAAAAACCTAGATTTCTGCCTTCACTAAGCTATAATAAGGTAATCCTGGCCCTCTTTCCTGGTTAGTGTCTGAGAAGACTGGGTGGAGAGCCAGGACTTTCGTCATCACTAGACGTTAGCAAGGCCCTCATCGATCCATGGTGACCGTGGAGAGCTTGGACTTCTATACCTACCTGGTGGTAAGGAGGCACCCGTCCCTCTCCACTCTAGGGTGGTATCATAGGAAGGCTGGTGAGCAGTCACCACTGCTCAGTGGTGACAAGTTCACCCACCCGCACTGTAGTATCACTGAAGGCCATGTCAGAAGAGTTAAAAGGCACTTATGCCCCTTCAATTAAAGTGTATCAGTGAAAGACTAGTGAGGAGCCTGAACTCCCACTTCCAATCAGCAGTAATAAGGAGCACCTCCTGTCGGATACCAACTGAAACCAAGTGGACACCTGAGCATCCACTTCCCCCTGGCAGTGATGAAGTGGCACTGCCTTTTCCCTTCCAGAAATTGTCAGAGGAGAACTGCTAAAACACAATATTTGAATACAATTCAGAGTCTCAAAACACAATACACAAAAATGTCCAAGTATTAATAAAAATCACTCATTATAGAAAGAACCAGGAAGATCTCAACTTGAAGAAAACACACTCAACAGATGCTGAAGCCAAGATGACATACGTTAGAATTATCTGATTTTAAAGCAGCTGTTACAAAAATGCTTCAATGAACTATTACAAACATGGCTTGAAATAAATGAAAAATTAGAAAGCTTTAGGAAATAAATAAAATCGTAAAGAACAAATTAGAAATTTTAAAATTGAAAGCATAATAACCAAATTTTAAAACTTAATGGATGGGCTTGAAAGCAGAAAGAAGAGGACGGAGGGAATAGAGTCAGCCTGAAGATAGTACAATGGAAACCACCCATTCTGGACAACAGAGAAAAAGATGAATAGAAAATGAACTTGGGGATATGTACAGTATGATAACAAACAATTCAAAAATTATATCATCAGAGAACCCAGAAGGAGAGGAGAAAGATGGCGAGGATAAAAAAGCATTCAAAGAAAGAATGGCTGAAAAGTTTCAAAACTTAGCAAAAAAAATGTAAACCTACAGATTGAAAAGCTGACTGAACTTCAAACAGGACAAATCAAAAGACAGCTACGTTAAGATACATCATAGTCAAAGTTCTGAAAACCAAAAGACAAAGAAAAAAATTTTGGAAGCAGCAAGAGGGAAATGACATCTTACCTACAGGGGAAAACCAATTCTGACAATGGTGGCTTTTTCTTTAGAAACCATGGAGGCTTTCAAGTGCTGAAAGAACAGAACTTCCACCCCAGAATTCTATGTCTGGCAAAAATACCCTTCAGGAATGAAGGAAAAATTTAAACATTCTCAAATGAAGGAAACTAAAAGCATTTGTTGCTGGCAGACCTACCCAAGAATAGCTAAAGGAAGTTCTCTTAACAGAAAAGAAATGATAAAGAAGGAATCTCAAGACTATCAGTGAAGAAGTAAAAACACCAAAAAGAGTAAAAACATGGGGGGTAATTGCAATAGACTTTCCTTATCTTCTTGCATTTTCTAAATTTTTTGATAGCAAAAAAATTATAACCAAGTCTAATATGGTTTTCAATATAGGTACAGGAAACACTAAGATAATTGTATCATAAATGGAAGAGTAAAAGAACATAAAGGAAAGTAAGAGTTCTACACATTAACTGACAAAATGTCAAACACCAATAGACTGTGATAAATTATGTAAATATGGTGTAATACCTAGAGTGACCACTAAAAAAGCTCTACAAAGAGATATACTGAAAATCACTATAGATAAAATGGATTATGAGATAAGGTTCATATAATTCACAAGAAGACAAGAAAGTGAAAATAGGGAAACCAAAAACTAGAGAACAAACAGGAAACAAACAAACAAACAAAAAGTCAGGCTGCAGCCTTGACATAGCAATACTTACATTAGACAATAGAAGCCTTTACATATAATTACATTAGACAAGAGAAATTGTCTAAATAAACCAACTGAAAGAGATTGACAATAAATTTAAAAATGACAAACTCACTTCAAAATTAACTGTATAGACAAGTTGAAACTAAAAAGATGGAGAAATATATCATGCAAATATTAATAGAAAGCAGAAATGGTGCCAAGATAATTTAATAGAGAAAGATTAGTCTCTTCTACAAATGGTGCAAGGCCAAGAGGATATCTACATGCAAAGGAACTAAGTTAGAACCCTACCTTAAACCACAGACAAAAATTAATACAAAATGGATCAAAGATCCAGATGTAAAACCTAAATCTAGAAAGCTCTTAGAAGAAAACATAGGAGTAAATCTTCATGACTTTGGATTAGGGAATTGTTTCTTATCTATGTATGGCACCAAAAGCACAAGCAACAAAAAATTAGATAAAATCTGATGTCATTAACATTTTAAAACTTTTTTGCTTCCAAGGACACCATCAAGAAAGTGAAAACACAACCCATCAATGGAGAGAAAATATTTGCAAACCATATATTTGATAATGAACTAGCATGTAAATATATTAATAACTAATTGATAATAAAAAGATGACCAAATTTAAAAGTGGACAAATACTTCACTAGATATTTCTCCAAAGCAGATATACAAATGGCCAATAAGCACATAAAAAATGCCTAACATCATTAGCCATTAGGGTTATGGAAACGAAAACCACAATATCCATTCACACCCACTAGGAGGTTGTAATAAAAAAAGATAGAAAATGACAAGTGTCGGTGAGGATTCGGAGATATTGGAACCCTATGCATTGTGAATGGGAATGGAAAATGGTACACCACTTTAGAAGACAGTTTGGCTGTTCATTAAAAAGGTAAAGTTACCTGTAAGATCCAACAATTCCACTCCTAAATATAATCCCCAAGAGAAAGTAAAACATACCCACACAGAAACTTTTATATAAGTGTTCATAGCAGCATTATTTATAATATCTCAAAGTGGGAAACAACCCAAATTTCTATCAGCTGATGAGTGGATAAACAAAATGTAGTATATTTATGCAATGGAATATTATTCAGGTGAATTTCATAGTAGGTGAATTATATCTTATTTTAAAATTTTGAGGAAAAAGCAGATGTGGCTACTTTAATATCAGATAAAGTAGACACCATTGTTCATAGCTTTATTTGTAGTAGCCAAAAACAGGAAAAAATCAAAATATCTCAATATATGAATGGTTAAACAAAGTGTGATACATTTATACCATGGAATACTGTTCAGCACTAAAAAGGAATCCACTATTGATACATGCATAGATTTCAAGGACATTAAACTGAGTGAAAAAAATACAATCTCAAAAGGCCGTGGGCTATATGATTTCTTTTTATAACATTCTCAAAATTATAGAGATGGAAAACAAATGAGTGGTTTTCAGGGATTAGGGGTGGGGGTATGAGGGGACTAAGTGTGATTCGAAAGGGCCAGCATGAGGGAGATCTTTGTGGTAGCAGAATAGTTCTATATCCTGATTGTGGTTGTGGTCATATAAATCTATATGTGATAAAATGGCATAGAACTATACACATATATTGATCCAGTGTCAGTTTCATGGGTTTGATGTAGTTCCGTAAGATGTAAATATTGGGGGAAATTGGGTGAACAGAACCTGGGACCTCTGTAAGAACTTTGCAATTTCCTGTGAACCTATCATTATTTTAAAATAAAATATGTAAATAAGAAACATTTGAAAACAGATATGTGAGTACAGAAATTTCCTCACAAATGTTTATAAACTATGCTACTCTGAGTCTATTATGTGAAGGTAAAACAGGAAATGGAAAAAATAATGCAATTATAAAAAGAATTACCAGTAAGAAAAATATTAAATCACTTTTTATATTAAAATTTATTTAAACATATCCACATGAATAAGTGGTTTATGTTACTTGTGTCTTTAAAATGAATATATATTCTGTTTTCTTAAATAAGGTATAAGCTAGTTATTTTGTAGATTGAGTTACTGGAATTAAAATTGTCAACACAAGATGGCACTAACTAAAAGTAAGAAAAAAACTTGTTTTTAAAAAAACGTGTGAGCTTTGCTGCATATGATTAAAACAAAACTGAACAAGCCATTTATCAAGTGAATCATTGTTTAACTGTGCAGTTAATGAAGTCTCGACTTTACATGAAAGCTAAAGTGTGTTCAGTTTCAATAATTCAGTTTTAATAACTGGTACTGTCTTCATTAATTGAAACATTTAAGCTTTACTGCACTTTCTAATCACGACTTAAATTTTCAAAGAGGTACACAAGAAAAGAAATATAGTGAAATAAGGTTAGAAATAATTAGTACAGTAAAATGTTAGCATTTTCTGTTATTTACAGTTTTCCAAACTAACAAATAGCTTTGAAAAACTGAGATTACATCAGATGAAACAAAACAAAGTTCAACGAAAAGAATTACCACACCTTAAAGACGAAATACCCTTTGAACTGAGCAATCTGAACCAGAAATTAGAGGTGAGATATATTATTTTAGTTTCTTCATGTGTATAAATAGTGATTCCTGTTGTCGTGGGTCGTTTGTCTCTAGTGTCCACAGTGGTGTCTACAGTTGTGGCAATAAACACTATTACAGACTAACTTCTCGTTGAATGTATTTTCTTAGTGCACCTTCCCTTCAGGCCCTTAGTGAATTAAAACATCACTTTGATGTACACATCTTTTCTATATATCCACAGTTTGAAGAGCACACACACACACACACACACACACACACACACACACAAAAAAAACGCCAAAAAAGTGAAAAGAAACTGCAGCTGTTGAGTAAAATTGAAGGACACCCCTGTGGTCAGTTAAAATGAATATCTAATAAATCTTTTAATGGCCATTTAGCTATTAGGTACTTAAATCCCAATGGAGCCTCATCACAGCTTTTAAAACAGGGCTTAAAATCTCACGGTATTTTTCTTTTTTTTTTTTTTTTTTGAGACGGAGTTTTGCTCTCGTTACCCAGGCAGGAGTGCAATGGCGCGATCTCGGCTCACTGCAACCTCCGCCTCCTGGGTTCAGGCAATTCCCCCTCCTCAGCCTCCTGAGTAGCTGGGATTACAGGCACGCGCCACCACGCCCAGCTAATTTTTTGTATTTTTAGTAGAGACGGGGTTTCACCATGTTGACCAGGATGGTCTCGATCTCTCGACCTCGTGATCCACCCGCCTCGGCCTCCCAAAGTGCTGGGGACAGGCTTGAGCCACCGCGCCCGGCTGGTATTTTTCTTTAAATTTGGTTAAAGAACCAATTCAGTTGTCCCATTGCACTTAGAATTTCTGAAGTTTTGGTCTCTAAAAAAATTCACTATGTCCTCATAACTATATACACCTGCTATGTACCCACGAAAATTAAAAACAAAACCCTTTAAAAATTCACTACGTCATACATGTACTTATTCTTATCTTCTTCATTTTCCAACCTTGGAAAAAACAAACCAGCTATTTTTCTTCCCTGTGCTCTTGAGCATTCCTTCTACAAGTCATGTAACAGCAAAAATTCTACTATAAATTTTCCTATCATCTACTTTTACCTGGATCCCCAGAACTGCTCAATTATTAGTTTTTAATTGACTCCAACTTGACCCTTACGTTGTCCTACTTAATTTCTTTCATTTTTCTCAAGCCCTAAACCCCAGCATCCCTCCCCTCCCAGCACTTCTTCATCTTATTCTTTAATTAACAAATCCTTCTACTTTAAAATATCTTAAAGAACAGGAAAAAATTAAGTCCGAAATCACAGCCCTAAAATCAGCTTATTATAAGAATGTTGTAGGAAGTCCTAGATTTTAATCTTTAAAACTCCAGCACATTTTACATGCTTCTGAACAATGAAGTTTTAGTCTTTAAAAATACAAACATCATCACTAAGTAAGTTGACCCTCTAGGACAGGTGTCCCCAAACTACGGCCCGTGGGCCGCATGCGGCCCCCTGAGGCCATTTATCCGGCCCCCCGCCGCACTTCAGGAAGGGGCACCTCTTTCATTGGTGGCCAGTGAGAGGAGCACAGTATGTGGCGGCCCTCCAATGGTCTGAGGGACAGTGAGCTGGCCCCCTGTGTAAAAAGTCTGGGGACGCCTGCTCTAGGAAAATGCATTGTGTTGTTCTCCCAGGCTCTTGCTGTGATATAACCAGAAGGGCTTCAGAAATGTCCTGATCTCATAGAAGATGCCCACAGATGTGCACTGTAACATACAGGTGCTTTCACTGAAATGAAGAGATTGAGTCACTAATTATCCATTTGACTGACTTTTCATAGGCTTTTGTGGGAGAACTGCATTAATAAAAATTGTTCAGACAAAAAAAAAGCCTTAAGTTAGTATCAACTACTTTGTGTATGCATGTTTTACATTTAGGGAACTAAATATTTACTATATATATACATATATAAAACATATATAATGAAATCATAGTAGAAATTAGTAGCAAAATGTTTTTATATGTTTGTACTTATTTAAAAGATTTTAAGCATTCTATGCAGATATACAGTTTAACTTGAAATAATTATAAAAACACTTCATGTACCTGTTTTACTTATAGCTATCTGAAAAATTAATGTGTAAGAGATAGATTCTTCCAGTTTTAGTCTGCATGTAAACCTGTTTTTCCTTTGGGGCATTTATACACTGGTATAGTAATAGCAGTGTACCACATACAGCAGTAGAAGAACATGATCACTGATAACTGAAAACAGGCCTTGCCTGACTGATTCATGTGTTTGCCCCGTGATCTTTAGGCACGTTGTTAGCCTCACCAAGATTCCATGTTGTCATCAGTAAATGGGGTTAAAAATACCTTATATGTGACATTGTGGTTATGGTGAAAAAAATTTAGATGCACACTGAAGCATTTAGGGATGAAAACATGTGAGGTCTGGAAGTCACCTTAAAATATACCAACAAAAAAGTGTGGGAAGATAGGAGACGTAAAGATGGACAAAGTTGATGGTAGTTAAACTGGGTGAAGGGTACATGGAGGTTTGTTTTACTCTCTACTTTATGTATGAACATCTTCATAATAAAAAGTTAAAACCGTTTTACAAGTGAAGGTCCCCAGCATATAGTAATCACAGAAGATCACCTCCAATATTTATTAGAGGGCTTTTTAAAACATCTAATAATACAGCTATCAAGAGAAACAAATTTTAGTGACCCTGATCCACTCTCAAGCTCAAAGATCCAGAAAAACTTTTCCAGCCACGAAGAACTTACTGTGGAGGTCCAGGCAAGTCTACAGACCTTTTGAAGCCTAACGTGACAACTCCAGTCTCTTTGTAAAAACCCTTACGAAGCTCTCTAGGTTCCTGCATGGTTCCATACTATTGTATATATTGTGCTGACTCGCTAGTCATGAAATCAGTACATCTAATAAGATTAAGGAAGCCAGGATTGTCATAACCACCTGTTGATAGGTTTGTGACACACATTTCTAGCTACTTTTGGCCTCACTTCTACCTGTTGTAGTATTTATAAGAAGTCAAGGTTATTGCTTCTGTCTCTAAAGCATCCTGGGGAATATTTATTTTCAAGATTATTGGGGTTAATAGGTAAGAAATGGTAAATATTTGTATTATCTAAAACATGTGAACAGCTTAAGTCAACCTTGCCCAAAATTTGACTTCTAACTCCCTTTTTAAACTAAAAGTAAACAGAAATTTTAAAAATCCAGATTGCCTTGATTTGAAATGTTAGCTATTTTCTACTAGAACCTAGTTTTATAAATTTGCCATTATTGCTAAAGACTCTGTTTTCATGTACCTAATTTTTGTATTATTGTATGTCAGAATTGAAGTCAATAACTTTAAATGGACTATCTCCATTTATCATAGTAAATACAGTCTCTTTATCATGAGCTACTATTATATATAGAAGGTCTTTCCATATTTCTTCAGCCTTAATACTATCACTCAATATCAGGTCACCCACCTTTCATTACTGTAAAAACTTCCTGATTTATAGCCTTCCTCCACTAATTGTTTAGGGACTTACAGATTTTAAAAACTAAAATTTCTTTAAATGTCCTTTAAAATTATTTTTGTATAGAAAATATGACATGCCATGTTCTTCTTATTTTAACAAAATAAAGCTTTCAGTCTCTAAATAAGCATTTGTTTTCCAGCATTACCAATTCATTCACTTCACCATCTTCAAAATAATAGTAACCACTCTGGCTATAATGAACTGTTCCAATTTGATATATTATGAGAAATAGCTAAGATAATCATAATATCCTCTGCATGGCTTTTATGTGTCAGTATTATTATACTTAACATACTGACATACTGTAAAATTACTCGTTTGTATATACATTTCCCTACTTCACTATAAATTCTTTGATTTTTTCTTTCAAAAAAATTTTTTAAATTATTAAATAGTTCCAGATTTACTTCTTTCCATAGAACTTGGTGGGCATTAACTGCTCACTAAATACTACTGAATTGAGAATTGAAAACATCACTACATTCATGCTACATTTCTATATGCAATAATATATAGTCATGGACATAGTAGCTATAGTTTGTTTCCAATTATGTGGTTTCCTTTGCAAAATTTTTGAGTCTGTTTAAATTCTAGGACTGTACCATGCTTTTGTTTGTACATTCATGTAATATAAGTGGTACCAGGCATTTTGTCAGGCACTGAGAATGGTACAAAACTAATAAACAACCATTATCCTCAAGCTGTTTAAAGCCTGGACAAACAGATAGGATATAAATGGTCAGCCCTAGGCAAAATGGAGAAGCAGTGATGTCTTCTTTGGTAACCTCGGGGCTATATCCTTTGCTCATGTTACTAAGATGTGAACAGATAATCATGCTGTATTATCTAAGCAAAACTACACTACTAGAGCAAAAACTTGAAAAACTGATCCTGCTTTATCAACCTACTTCTACCATTTATTTCCAAGGTAGACCAATTGGTACTGCCTAGATGAGGCCTGGCCATGGCCACAAGGGGCAAAGTCAGTGTCTCAGTTAGTTCAGGCTGCTGTAACAGAATACCATAGACTGGGTGGCTTAAGCAACAGACATTTATTTCTCACAGTTCTGGAGGCTGGTAGTCCAAAATCATAGTGCCAGTATATTAATCTATTCTCATACTGCTGTAATGAACTACCTGAGACTGGGTAATTTACAAAGAAAAGTGATTTAATTGTCTCACAGTTCCTCAGGCTGTACAGGAGGCATGGCTGGGGAGGCCTTGGGAAACTTACAATCATGGTAGAAGGCAAAGGGGAAGAAAGGCATGTATTCACGTGGCCAACAGGAGAGAGAGAGTGGGGGGGGCAGGGAAGAGAGAGAGAAAAAGGAGAAATGCTACACACTTTCAAACAACCAGATGTCATGAGAACTCTATCAAGAGACAACACTAGGGGGATGGTGCTAAGCTATTAGAAACCACTAGGCCATGCACGGGGGCTCATGCCTGTAATCCCAGCACTTTGCGAGGCTGAGGTGGGAGGAACGT